CACAGCATGCCGACTTATCGCATAAATACTAATATACCGTGCGAATTGCAACTGTATACGCAACAAGTGCAAAATAAGCATGAATGTAAGGTACACTATCGGATAACGAGAACGACGTTATGAATCCCGTTACATCAACCACATACATGGCTGTACTCAACAGCCAAAAAAGAAAAAATAAATATAAAATGCGATGAACATACAGAAAGCAATTTGGTAATAAAAAATACAGGCAGACTGACCTTACGAGGAAACTGCCAAATTAAAACAGAGGACATGACATTAGAAACAAAAAAGACAATCTACGTAGCAAGCATAGACACATATTTACCAAATTTCAACATTGCACCATCACAAGACAAAGACATAAGAATACTCGACACATTAGATAACCTGATACAACACAACATAGAACTAATAGAGTTAAGAGCAAAGATAAACGACATAGACAACGATTTACGAAACAATGAATAGAAGTTTTACACAAAACGACAGTTTATTTACCCCATGACCTCGAGCGGATTAATAATAACTCTAATCATAATATCTATTATTGCCATTGTAGTTTGGAAAATAAAAAACAAAAAAGACAAAAAGAAGACCAAGAGTAACGATACTTGACGATGACTAGAGTTTACCTAGATCCATACTAAAAAAAAGCAATAGCACACATTTTTATAAAATAAGAAACAATTATAATTATATTGTAAACGGGTATAAAACATTTATAAACTTTAGTTTTAAGCGAAAAACTACGTACCTTCGTTTTTCTTCTTTAACGGGGAGGGATGTTATATCCCTAAAAGATATAACTATTAAGGTATAACTACTCATATTACATCCGCTCGACGACGGGCACTGACCGCGTAAAAACGCAGACGCTGCGAGATACACGCGAAACCGAAATTGCCCAACGTGCAAGCAAAGCAGGACTTTGAATTTACTTCGCTTGCACCTAGGTCCTTGACCGAGGGGGCCCGTTGCCAGGCACCCCTTTCGATCAAGGAACTCTCAAAAAGCGAGACTATAAAAACGGAGCAGGAGACGCGCCGAATAGTCGCTCTCGAGTCGTTAATTAAGAATTACCTCGCAAACCGCGTGCGGTCTATAACACCTTATCGCAGTCGCGCGCGCGAGTCACGAAATCATACGTAATCGATTTAGCTCGATTAGTTAAGTAACTACAAAGTGTAACATTGTGGAAATAAAAATTACACCAAGTGTTTAATTCAAATAAAGGATTTTTTAATAGTGAAACGTGAAGTGCATTGGTGCAACCATCCCGATCCAAGCCCTGACGCCCCGGATCCTCATCCTAATTTGGCGCGACCCCTTGTGCCTTACCCGAGGCACACAACAACACATAGAAATCTATTTAACAACTTCGAATTACAGACGTCAATTTCAACATTACAGCAGTACATCACTAATCTCGCTTTTTTGTGCGTTAATGTATTTATGTATATACAAAAAACAAAAATAAATATTTTATACATTTAACACTTGTCACCTATTAACTCTAACTACAAAAAAAAAAAAAAAAAAAAAAAAAACATTAACATTTTGATATTTCTATAAACTTTTTATAGCATTCAAAAATGAGGTTTATAAAGAAGAAGCTCAGTATTGCATCCGTTCTTGTTAACGCATGATGACGAAATATCTAACTTGAAAATAACTACGAAAAGACTATAAAAAATCGTCCTATCGTTTCAACTGATTTCATTTCCTCAAGGGAGGCAAGAAGTCCCACATAACCACCCGTCCTCTACCCGGAGGCGGGGGTATCCATGAGGATTTCCACTACGTAAAAAAAAAAAAAAAAAAGGGTATCGATTCTGTAACTTTTTTTAAGTAAAAATGTAAAAACTAAAAAATTCTCGCCAATCACGCATTGATTTTAAAATGAAATTGATGTGCAATTGGCGAAAATTTTTCATTTTTCACGTTTTCACTTTAGAAAAAGTTACAGAATCGATACCCAGCTGATTTTGCGTATTACAAGTAAAACACAACTTAAATTTACTTAAAAACAAATTATAAATATTAATAAATCAAAGCAAAATAATACTCGAATAAATTATAACAAAATACATAATGTCAATCGAATAATTAACTTTTTGCTTAAAAAATTTGTTCTAACACAATAAGGGTTTCATATATTGTGAAATCCTATAAATTTCTTTAAACGAAAAGTCAGTATCCATTAGACGGTTGAATTTTGAGCCAATATTACTATTACATCACATCTATAACCTTGAAAAATATACACATTAGAGCTATCGGATTTCATGTCTAAAAATTATCAATTCATTGAATCTTCAAATTACAATGGCCTAGTTTACATCGAGCACTTCATACGCGTATTAAATAGCAAATATTAGTAAATTGACTCATTTTTATTAGCTGATCAGCTCAAATGTACTATTTGATACGCGTGTTAAGTGCTCAATGTAAATTAAATCAATGTGAATTTATTTTGATTCAATTAGTTATATACTTATTATTACATAAAAACTAATTAAATAAATAAATAATATAAATAATAATATAAATAACAAAGACATCGTCATATCTCCAAATAAATTCAAGGACAAACATATTAATCCTTTAATTAATACTAATAAAAAATGGTTTATTAATTTGACTGACACAATAATTCCATCCAATGTTACTAACTTATTGCAATTTGGGAGTAAATTCGGCCTGCCGTTTAATAATGATAAAAAGTTGGCCATACACGAATTTATCAAGGATATGGAAGGAAATTCCACCAGTTACAACATCAAAAATTTAAAAACATTGCGCAACAATTTGGTTCCACAACTTTCCAATTTTTTACGTGGCAAAACTAAGTTTAATTCAATTCATGAAAAATTGATTTGCATGCATAGATACACAAAGAAATTTTGCCATAATAATCCTGATATTTTCTTTACAAGGGCCGATAAGGGCAATTTAACATTCGCGATGACAAAAAAATATTACACGGATAAGATGGAGGGCCTACTTAATGACAATAGCACCTATTCTATCATAAAAAAGAATCCATCCTCTAGAATAGAAAAGGAACTAAACGATACTCTTAAAAAATGGCAAAAAAAAAGGGTACATTTCCAATAAAGAATATTTTTTACTACGTTCCAGCGACTCCCTTCTTCCAAAATGTTATGGTCTCCCAAAAATACACAAGGAGAATACTCCATTTAGAATTATTGTGTCATCAATTAATACCACGCTATACTCGATTGCCACATTTTTACATAAAATTATATCAAATAGTATTCCCACGGTTAAAAGCAATATAAATAACAGTTTTGAATTATATAGCAAGCTTGCGGGTAAAAAAATTAGTACGGAAGATATCAGGAGACGCGGTAGTGTCTCCAGCCATGTTTAAACCCTAAAAGACCTTAAAAGACACTACAAGTCTCATATCCTGCACCATCAAAGTCCATTTTTGGGGGTGTAGAACTACTAAACTATAAAAAATTTGGAATTGCACGAAATATAACCTGAAAGGCGGCATTGCCACGAGTAATTTGAGCCAAGAAGGAATAAAATCGGTCAAGCCGTTCTGGACATACAAGCGGTCAAAAAATGACGTTTTTCATAAAAAATTAAGAAACGTCGTCTTCTTCTTCTCTGTCCGCGTCCGCTGACGTCATCAGGATTATATATACAGGGTGAGTCATTTTAATTTATGGACCCGAATATCTTCCAAATTACGGTATCTACAAAAAAATGGTTTAGATAAAAGTTGACCAGGACAGAGGGGTCATTCAATTGTACCATTGGTTTTGACCTTGAGGTCAATTTTGAAGGTTATTTCAAGGTCACGATGGTTTTTTTAAATTGAACACCCTATTTTTGACTGCGGATTTTGAAAGAGCGGAAAATTTTACATCAAACTTGTCTTATGAAAAAATTGTTTTTGCGACCTTGGAAAGGTCAAAAATGAAGGTGAAATGCCTGAAACACGATCTGGTGTACTTTTTCTGAAATGACGTGGTTTTCTGGGTAACACAAATGTGCATAATGCTTAAACAAAGTCAATGATTTGTAAAAGTGTAAATTACTTTGACTAGCTTGACCTTGAGGTCAATTTTCAAGGTTGTTTGAGGTTCATAACGCATTTTTTTATTAGTAAACCCTATTTTTGACCGCAGAATCCGTTTCTTGACAATGGACTCTTAAACAATGGCACTTTTTACATGAGCATAAAGATTTTTTAGTTTTTCGACCTGACCTTTTGAAGGTCATATCAAGGTCAAAAGCACTTTCATCTTACTTTTAGCGTTACCGGAAACAACGACGTGGACGTAGTAAGTTCTGTTTCCTTTAGGGTGCTTGATTATTGTGAGTCCCCTTGCCTCTCACGTCGGGGTGCTTGATTATCGTGAGTTCCCTTGCCTCTCACGTCGGGGTGCCTGATTATCGTGAGTCCCCTTGCCTCTCACGTCGGGGTGCCTGATTATCGTGAGTCCCCTTGCCTCTCACGTCGGGGTGCCTGATTATCGTGAGTCCCCTTGCCTCTCACGTCGGGGTGCTTGATTATCGTGAGTCCCCTTGCCTCTCACGTCGGGGTGCTTGATTATCGTGAGTCCTCTTGTCTCTCACGTCGGGGTGCCTGATTATCGTGAGTCCCCTTGCCTTTCACGTCGGGGTGTCTGATTATCGTGAGTCCCCTTGCCTCTCACGTCGGGGTGCTTGATTATCGTGAGTCCCCTTGCCTCTCACGTCGGGGTGCTTGATTATCGTGAGTCCCCTTGCCTCTCACGTCGGGGTGCTTGATTATCGTGAGTCTCCTTGCCTCTCACGTCGGGGTGCCTGATTATCGTGAGTCCCCTTGCCTTCACGTCGGGGTGCCTGATTATCGTGAGTCCCCTTGCCTCTCACGTCGGGGTGCTTGATTATCGTGAGTTCCCTTGCCTCTCACGTCGGGGTGCTTGATTATCGTGAGTCCCCTTGCCTCTCACTGACACTGTAATTTAAATGAATTACCCACGGAGTAATTGTTCAAAATTACCTCCGTTGGCTTCGAGACATAACTGCAATCTGTTTTGAAAACTATCCACAGTTCTAAGCAGGGTAGCTCTAGGAATGGCTGCACAAGCTCTACGAATGCGGTCCATAAAATCATCTCTTGTGGTTGGTCGTTCAGCAAAAACAACATTTTTCAAGTATCCCCATAAAAAGAAATCGGGCGACGTCAGATCTGGTGAGCAAGGAGGCCATTCAACTGGACCCCTTCGTCCAATCCATCTGTCATTGTAACTGGCATTTAAAAAGGCACGTACAATGAGTGCATAATGCGGTGCAGCACCATCTTGTTGAAGCCACATTCTTGCTCTTGTTGCTAAGTCAACATCTTCTAATAAGCCTGGTAAGTGATCTCTTAGCAACGATAAGTAACTGTGTCTATCAACGTTTTCTTCAAAAAAATAAGGTCCAATCAAATAACCATTTACAATGCCGCACCACACCATAATACTCCATCGATTTTGATGATCTATTGGCCTATACCACTGAGGATTAACATCTGACCAATAATGGCAGTTGTGTCTATTAAGTTGTCCGTCACTATAAAATTTAGCCTCATCTGAGAAAAGCACATACCTAAAAAAATTAGGATCATCGTGTAACATTTGTAAAGCCCACTGGCAAAAAGCAATACGCATCAGATGATGATTAGGCTGTAAAGCCTGCGTAAGAGTTATGTGGAAAGGATGATAATTTAGAGCTCTTAAAATTCTAACAACAGTTCTTTGTGGTATACCTATTTCCCTTTCAATCTGGCGAGTACTAACATGAGGATTAAGGTGAACTATTGCTAAAATAGTTACAACTCGCGCATCATTTTCGTCATATTCATGATGTTGACGTTGACGAACAAGATGTCCATTGCGAGTTCTTTGGACTAAACTACGTATTGTCATATCAGTTGGATGTCGCCTTTCAGGAAAACGTTGAGCATAAAGCCTTGATGCTGCATTGTAATTGCTATGACACTCCCCTAAAACTAATATAATATCAACAATCTCATTAGGACTATAATCAGCCATTCTGGAAAGGTAACTTGTGAATGTAATTACCTACATACCCTGTATGTATGTTTGGAATTTTTAAATTTAAGCAACTTTAAATAGTAAATTTTTCAATTATGCAGAAGTGAGTAAGAAAGAAAAGGAATAAAACTCTATTATAACAAGAATTATAAATCTTAAATCAAACGTAATTGTTTAGTTTTTTTCAATCGTTGATTATTAACATTAGGTATCGGATACCTTACGTCCGCTGCTCCCGTAAAAAAGAAATGGATTTCCATTTATCCTTTTGACCTGACTTTTTGAAGGACGTCGCCCGATTTCTTTTTATGGGGATACTTGAAAAATGTTGTTTTTGCTGAACGACCAACCACAAGAGATGATTTTATGGACCGCATTCGTAGAGCTTGTGCAGCCATTCCTAGAGCTACCCTGCTTAGAACTGTGGATAGTTTTCAAAACAGATTGCAGTTATGTCTCGAAGCCAACGGAAGTAATTTTGAACAATTACTCCGTGGGTAATTCATTTAAATTACAGTGTCAGTGAGAGGCAAGGGGACTCACGATAATCAAGCACCCCGACGTGAGAGGCAAGGGGACTCACGGTAATCAAGCACCCCGACGTGAGAGGCAAGGGGACTTACGATAATCAGGCACACCGACGTGAGAGGCAAGGGGACTCACGATAATCAAGCACCCCGACGTGAGAGGCAAGGGGACTCACAATAATCAAGCACCCTAAAGGAAACAGAACTTACTACGTCCACGTCGTTGTTTCCGGGTAACGCTAAAAGTAAGATGAAAGTGCTTTTGACCTTGATATGACCTTCAAAAGGTCAGGTCGAAAAACTAAAAAATCTTTATGCTCATGTAAAAAGTGCCATTGTTTAAGAGTCCATTGTCAAGAAACGGATTCTGCGGTCAAAAATAGGGTTTACTAATAAAAAAATGCGTTATGAACCTCAAACAACCTTGAAAATTGACCTCAAGGTCAAGCTAGTCAAAGTAATTTACACTTTTACAATTCATTGACTTTGTTTAAGCATTATGCACATTTGTGTTACCCAGAAAACCACGTCATTTCAGAAAAAGTACACCAGATCGTTTTTCAGGCATTTCACCTTCATTTTTGACCTTTCCAAGGTCGCAAAAACAATTTTTCATAAGACAAGTTTGATGTAAAATTTTCCGCTCTTTCAAAATCCGCAGTCAAAAATAGGGTGTTCCATTTAAAAAAACCATTGTGACCTTGAAATAACCTTCAAAATTGACCTCAAGGTCAAAACCAATGGTACAATTGAATGACCCCTCTGTCCTGGTCAACTTTTATCTAAACCATTTTTTGTAGATACCGTAATTTGGAAGATATTCGGGTCCATAGATTAAAATGACTCACCCTGTATTTACTCTTTCGCGTTTTGCCTCTCGCATAGGCAGAGTAATTATATTTAAACTCGCTCTTTCTCTCGGCGTTCGGCGCACGTGTGTCACCTGATATTCGAGCGCGCGAGTCTTCTTAATCTTATCTCCGCGCTCTCCGTCTTCATCGCTGCTACGTTCGAACTCGGAATTTCTCTCCTGCCGAATTCTTTGATTATCTATTTTATTAATACTTCGCGGTTTTTTCGATCCTCTGGCTTGTTCCGTGGGGGTGTATTATTTTTGGTCGTCCGTTTAATTCCCAACATTCTTCGCGGTTAGTATGTCCACGCTTTTTGCAATGATTGCAAAATTTTTCGATGGCGGATACGCGCGAGGATTTTTCCGGTTTCGGTAGAACGTTGACTTTGCTACGACAGTCTCGTCCGTAATGTCCGGGTTTTCTGCATCTATAACATTGTCCCGTCGTTCGCTGTCCTGACCGCGTTGATTCAGGTTTATTTAGCGAGGAATTTGTTGCCCGTGACGTGCTAGGTCCGATAAATCTCTCTTCCGCGCTCGCGCCGGCTATCGCTTCTTGAAGCGTCGTATATCGTTGTGAGCGTACGAGTACCTTTAAGTCGCTTCGTAGCCCTAATTGAAATTTAATAATGCTTGGGTTTGGATCGTTTGTAAGATAGTGCGTTTCTCTGAGCTCGTTTGGTTTTCTCCCTCTACTATTGAATCGTATAAATTCATAGCGAGCTGGTCGACGCGTTGCCCGAAATTTTGTGCTGTCTCATTATATTTCTGCTTTAACGAATTAAATTCTAATTGCAAGTGGGCAGTACTTTGCTTGCATTGGTATGCGGTCTCTAGTTGTTGCTTTAATTCTTCAAACGTTTGTATGTCTCGCGTTTCGAAAACTTGCATGACTTTACCTTTTAATTTAGTAAATAGTATGCCCTGTATCAGAGACTCTTCGTCTCCGGGATGTATGTTTTGCATTGTATATGTGCATGCGTTTAGAAATTCCTGAAGGCGGTGTCGCGATGTACCGTCGAATTCGGGTATCATCATTCGCGCTTCTTTTAGAGACATATATTGTTGTGCAGTACTCCGTCGATTTCGTACGTCGCGCTCAGTCCGTCCGTAAGTCATACGAGGCTCGTAATCGGACTCCCGCTGTTCGTCTGTGTGTGTGTATGCCTGTGCGGCTTCTATCCTATTCATACGTGTGTTTAGTGTATGTAGCTCTGCATGTATAGCTTGTATTATATTAAGCATTTGTGAAGTTTCTCCGGGCGCTACGACAGAGGGTTGTTGTGACGTGGCGTCTAAATTCTGTCCCATTTGTGCAAGGGTTTGTCGGAGTATGCTTATTTCGGCATCTATCGCGGTTGGCGAAATAGTTGCGTTCGCGTTTGTATTTTCTGCCATATTTATTTCGCTATAAATTTCTTCGGGATCGAATATTTCGCTGTCGTATGACGTTAATGAAAATTCTCTTCGCGAAGATACTCTACTCTCGAGTTCGGCTGATATACGGTCGCAATGCGCGTTCGTTTTGAGTACTTGAACGGAGTCGCTTGGATTATTTGCGAATATACTCGCGTCAAAAACTAGTAAACTGAAATTCTCGTTCGTTTATTACGTTCGGAGGTAACTCGGTATTATTTTCGTTTGTCAAGTTGCTGTCTAAATTTCTACGAACGCTTTCGAGATTTTGCGCAATTAAAGGCAATACTCGCGTCGTTAACCGTATAGGTGTACTATGCAACCACGATTGGGTTTTTAATCGCTTGTCGGGGTGGTTTCGTCACCTTCCGACATCAATCACGCACGCAATCAAATAAATTCGGACTTACAGTATAACGGCTCGCATCGTTACGCTCTATACGGGTCGGCTGCTGCTGCTGCAACTCGATCGCTCGTGGGCTGATAACGGCGGCTCCGTGTTGGTGATAGATACGGCGGGTCGTCGCTCGTGTTGATGCGCTGCCCGTGAGGTTGTCGTAGGTCGGCGTTGTCCTTGGACGTCGGCGATCTTTTCGATTCTCTGCTGCTTATCACTCGTTGCACTGTTTTATGTTGTCCGCTCTCTCGTTCTCTCCTAGTCGTGGCTTCTGCTTATTTCCGTCAGAGTTACTGACGTGCCCGTCTACACTTGTTATAATTGTATGTGTTTTTACAGGTCTTCGCCGCTGTGAAGATTTTAGAGACGACGTCGGCCCTGCGGCTGAGATCCCACCGCTGCCACCAAATTGTTGGCTTCCGGAAGGCACGGAAAATTTTGGGGTCTCAATCGACTGAAGGATGAGAATCCTAGGATCGGCGGGCGTCTCCACTTTGATTAACTTCGCTTGTGTATTTGAATAAATCTTTTATTTCGCTATTTCTTGAGTTGGATTAATTATGTATAATCCCACCTGGGTGATTAGTTAGGTGTGCTCGCCTCGATAATCAGATTACAGTGATAGTTATATTCTGCGGCTGTCTTCGACTCCTAGTTAGGTTCTAATTAGCGACTCGACCTTTGGATTTTCGTTAGCGACTCTAGATTTATTCTGACTTTAGCTGAATAACGACTCGTCTGATTACGAGTCGGGAGTTATCCTCGATGTGTCCTCGGTAGGTTGGTCTAATTCAACTCGCTCTCTGTTCACTCCCGAGTTCTTACGTGAACTCGGTTTTTCGTTATTTCATTTAGAAGGGGTGCCTGGCGACAGGCACCCGATTGGGCATAGCTTTGCATACGCGCTAGATGTTTGAGCTAAGAGCTGTTTCGAAAGATGACGCTCTTAGCTTGCGTCTTCGCGGTTTCCGGCCCGCTGCTGCATGCGGTCTCCACGCGGATTTTATATCCGTTAACTTGTAATTATGCCTTTCGGGCTATAACACTTTACATAAAAA